TGGCTCCTTTTCTCCCATCATCATGTTGACGACAAATTTAACCAGGGTCCTAATAAAAAGAACAAACACAAAATATAAGTAAGCAAAAATTTAAACCTTAACTCTTTAAAGACGGAACACCCCTTAAATGGCGTTTGAATCCATCAAATTTTGATGGAAAACCATTTAAGTGGGTCTTCATAGAGACACTCTAACTAATATTGTTTCGTTTGCTGAAAAACAAATTTTGTATGAATATGTTTTGAAAAACTAGAATTAGCAAAACAAAATCTTTTCATTTTTGAATAACAGCATGTTGTATGCATACTATCTGATCTGTTTTAGAATAATTACATGTGATACCATTTTTATGTGAATTTCTAGACCAAATGATAACAGAAAAGGTCTAGAACTGTTCATACTGCTAAATCATTGAGGAATCTCAGCCAAATAGTGATAATAGTCTTGATATTATGATTGATAATGTAAATGACAAACCTATTGGTGACAATGTAGGTTAATGATGATGTTGAACAAAATATTTCAGTCGGATCATCTCAGTTTTGATCCGCATTTTTCCAATTTCGGTTTTTGTAAAATCTGACTTGTCATACAAAAATAGTCATAACATCCAGAGTATTTAAAATAACTATTTCAAATAAAGACTAGCTGATACAAAACTGGACAGAGAAGGCATGTGAATACTTAGAAAAGGATAGCAGTGTTGCTGAACAAGTGAAAAGTAAGGTAAGCACAACATTTTTATGTGTAAATAATCTTCATATGTGTCTAACGTCCTTGAATGTTGTGTGATTTTAGTAATATTTTTTGTAATAACAACACATAAATAGTTTAGATTTATTCTGCACTCGTTTATTTTTATTTTTATATATTTTATACGTCTCTGTACAGCCAATACTTTTTCATCAGGAAGGTTTTAGCTTTGTCACACAAAAAATTATGCTGTCCAAACCCCAGAAATAAATGTGGTCCTGAAAGAGTTAATGTATGAGGTACATTAAGAAAGTAATGTCCCACATTTATCTTGTCAGTGAATAATAAAGATAGACACATGGAATTTTGTAAGCTTTAAATGTGAAATGCCAGTATGTTATTATGAAATAGCAACTTATTCAAAAAAAAAAAAACCAAAAAAAAACAACACCTGCATTAAATCTTTGAGTCCCAAGGAACACATCATACGTTCATAGGTTCCTACCTAAAAGCCCAATGAACGCATGATGCACCAATTTTATTAATTTCCTTACTACCCCCTGGGCCTGTGATGCTAAATCCCCTTTGACTCATAGAACAAAAAGTTTCAAGGGGGTGCCAAGCAGATGTGAAACTGAGTTCATTTGTACTAGCAAATGTTATACTTAAAATTAAATTTGAAAACAATAAAAATAAAAATTGTTTAATTGTAAATAACATCAGTTTTAAAACTACTGCCATTTTTCTCCATGAAAACTTGTGAATCTAGATTTTTCAGCTTAAATTGTCACAAAAACAAAATAGTGCTCCAGCCTGATGGAGAGTGATCACCACTGTGCCTTGTCCAATATCAGACTAAAAATAGTAGATATCATCGAAGCAAAACAGGGTCAACCATCGCATTGGTATCCGGACGCTAAATTACCAGTTCTGGTGATTGTTTCTTTGATTTATTTGACACATGATGTTTACCTTAAAGTTCTTGTTAATTGCGACTAAGATTTTTCTTTTTCTCTTTGTTTTTTATGTTTGGGGTAGGAAGGAGTTTTCACCCTATATTCAAGGGAGAGAGCCACCTTCTGAAGAAAAAAAAAAAGGTTGGAAACCACTGGTCTAAAAGGAGAAGGAGGAGGATGAGATCAAGAAGAGAATCATCAAGAAGAAATACAAGAAGCTCAAGAAGAGGACCAAGAAAAACGAATCAAGAAGAAAAGAAGATCAAGAATTATAAAGATCAAGAAGAAAAAGATCAAGAAGACAAGAAGAAAACCAAGAAGATCTAGAATGAAAACAACAAAAAAAACACCAGAAGATCAAGAAGAAGAAGATCAAGATAAAGGTAAACAAGCAGATCAAGAAAGAAAGATACTGAAAAAAAATAATATTAGAAAAAAAAAAGATGAAGAAAAGATGAAGATTTTGAAGAAAAAATTGAAGAAGAAAAAAGAAGAAGATCAAGAAAAAGATTAATCAGTTAAAAAAAAAAGATCAAGAAGAAGTTCAAGAATAAGAATATTAAGAAAAAAAAATATATATATATTAAAAAAATGAAAATATCAAAAAGAAAAAGAGCAAGAAGAAAAAGAAGTTGAAAAAAAAAAAAAAAAAGAAGAAGATCAAGAAGAAAAAGAAGTTAAAAAAAACCAAAAAGATGATCAAGAAGAAAAAGAAGTTTAAAAAATTAAAAAAAAGAAGATCAAGAGGAAAAACAAGAAGCTCATGAAGAAGAATATCAAGAAGAAAAGAAGATAACCCCCATGTGGGTTCCATGGGCCCCATTGTGGGGAAAACAAGAATAAACCCACTGCATCCCCAAAAGCATGTCGTAAGCGTCGACTTATTGGGGAGCTTCCTTTGAAGTCGGAGTGCATCTGCCGGAGAGGCAAGGAACCAACAGTCTGCATTCAAGAGAATGAGATCTGTAAAACTGATGCACACGCAACACTCAGGTTCTCTAGCAGGACTGAATTCAGTAATGGACGAGCAACCAGAATCTTCTGCCAGAGTTTACAGCTGGTGAACACGAAGAAAAAGAAGAAAAGAAGATAAGAAGAAAAAAGAAGTATAGATGCCTGCAGCAACAGGTATCAACGACACACTCAAACTCACCAACTGATGTGGAATACAAGAGTCAGAATAAACCAGGCCAGTCGGAAGTTCACTTTGAAGAACCCAGTGAACAGTTGCCAGTATGTCATTGACTTGAACGTGTGGTAGGATTGCTTCAAGTTGGACCAGGTTAAGCATGACAAAAATGCTGCCAAAATGTCCTTGAAGAAGCGGTACAGCAGCAAAACAGGCTCCAATACTCTGTGAAAACAATTTATTATAAAATAAATGTTTTATTATTATTCTTTTACAGGCAGTCATTACATCAACAATTTTTATTATCAACATTTGTGTTTTTCTAATATTCTGTCTGGATAATTTCTACTTACATTTCTGCTGTCAAATAGTTATTCCTTCCTTCATAATGTTAAGTAAAGAACAGGAAACTGCCACATATTTTTTCGTGGTGTTGTAAGAAAAGATACAAAATAAAATATAACAAACACTTGTCATACAGTTTATTAGTGAACTACATATCAGATTTTTCTGCAATCTGATGAAAATGAATGCACACAGAGCAAGGGAAAGCTTGTGAACAAGATAGAATTATTGCAGGCAGAAAAGCTTTGAAGAAAAAAAGATCAACTTATGCAATGCACTTGAAAGAGCACTAAAGATCCTTAACCACCCCCCGCCCCCCCACACACACACACACACATACAAACATGCACACCTCAGTGAGGTAGGAGGAGGAGGAAGAAAAAGATGCAGAAGTGGAAGAGCAGCAGCCGCAGCAGCAGGTGCAATAGTAGTAGTAACAAACAAAAAAAAATAAGTGGAGAAAAAATAATAATAAGAAGAAGAAGAAGACCAATGTTAACAGACTTTTACAATAATATGTATAAATAAATGAAGAAAGAAGCAAGTGGCAAAAAATAAAAGATGAAATACTGGTAAATTAAAGCTATCAGAAATTTCTTTACAGAAATGTAAGAACAGATCATTTTCTCATTCAGTATTTGAAGTCAATGAGATTCATTGCTAAAGATTTCACCTGCCTCCATCCACCTCTGTGACTGCCAAACTCTTTCCAGTTGGTATCTCCAGATATTTATAGGTCTGCTTTTATATTATTTCTTCATGATCGTCTTTGTCTGCCTTGTTGTCTGCTCCTGTGCAACTCTTTGTACGCTTAGTTTTTGTCTCTGTGTTATCTGCCATTCTATCTGTTTACCCCAACCATTACAGCTTAGTTTTTGTCTCTGTGTTATCTGCCATTCTATCTGTTTACCCCAACCATTACAGTCTGTTAGCCATTTTGATGCAGGCAATTTACAACAGAATACAGAGCCATGAAGATGTAGCAGCCTGACACTCCTCTGCGGATCTGAAGACCATGGGTACAGGTTTTGACAGAGCCAGACTTTTTTCAAAAATGACTTTGGCACCCACCTCAACCCATAAATGCGTACCAGGCGAAGTCCTGGAAAGTAGGGGTGGCCAGTGTGATGTTTACTACTTCACTGATTGCCAACTGGTGTAAACAATGTATGTCTAGCTCTATATGTCCAATGTGCCTGAAGCAAGAAAAAGAGTCATTTACTTTACTTCACTTCTGCAACAGATTATAAATTTTGTTGTCGCTTCTGACTATATATTCTTAACTTTGCATCTATGATGGGCCCATAGATTCATCATAACACTTCACTCAAAGGTATGTAATAAGGCTTCGTCTCTCTCTTAGGGAGTAAGGAAAGATAAAACATAAAATATAAAGTGATATGCAACAAAGATGGTAGTATAAAAAAAAAACAATTACTCCTAAATTAATATTATTCCTTATTATTATAAAAGCCAATATTGTTATTTTAGGACAAGTACAGAATTTTAAGTATCTGGGCTCATGGATAACATCAGAATAAAGATGCATCACCGAGATAAGAAACAGAATAGGGCAGGCAAAAACTGCATTTTATAAAAAAAAAATAAAGAACATCCTATGCAATATATCTCTGTCATTAAAGGTTAGAAAAAGAATTCTTGCTTGCTATATACATGCAGTTTTGACATATGGCTTTGAGTCCTTGACAATCGGAAGGCAGGCCAAACAATTTCTTGAGGCCTCAGAGATGTGGTTTTACAGAAGAATGCTGAAAATACCTTGGACAGCCAAAAAAAAAGCAACAAGAGATTTTGAAAGAGACGGGAGCCTGAAGACAACTGATCATAGACATCAGAAGGAGACATCATTTTTCGGCCATGTTATGAAAAGACGGAAAATGGAACATGTGACCACCGGAAAAATCTGTTGAAGGAAGGATAGAGGAAGGCAACGAGAGAATATTCTTGACTGTCTTATTGCATGGCATGGAGGTGTATCAGCACATAAACTAATACATGCTGCAGAAGATCGCAGATTGTGGAGAGGCATGATCACCCATGCCAGTTGGCAAGGCACCTGATGATGAGGCAACAAAGGTTTCTCCATGGATCACAAAACAGGGGTATAAAACCAACTAACCCTCCATCAATGTTGCCAGCTCCACTCCTCATGGCAGCAATCCTCTGTTCCTCAGCACTAATGCTAGTGGCATGTTGCATCTACAGACGATACACAACACAAAAGTTGGTTAAAGACCACTTTCATATCAGTCACATGATGCTAGGGAGATGCTGTGGCGTTTGTGGCTCGAACCCCTCTACGGATCGGAAGGTCGTGGGTTCACGTTCTGATAGAGCCAGAATTTTTTATTTAAATGACCTTGACTCCCAGGTTGACCCAGCCTTGAGTGGGTACCAGGTGCAGTCCTGGGAGGTAAAGGTGGCTGGCGTGATGCTGACCACATAACCTACTAAGTGCTATTTGGTATATAAAAGTATAGGTCTAGCCCTATATTCCCAACATGTCTAAAGACGCGGAAGAGGGACCTTTACTTACTTTTACAGGATGCTAGATCAATATTATTAGGAATTCCAGAGCAATTTGACTAAAAAGCATAACAAAATGGGGAAGCAGAAAAATGTGCACAAAACAACACAAATAACTTTTAGGCCGGGCAGCCTTTTTCAAACATAAGTGAACTACACAAACATAACAACAAGGAGAGGAGAGTATGTAGATCTCTAAGGGGCGACATGAGCAATATTATTATTTTATAATATTAGATCAATATTTTTACAGACAACATCACATCTGCTGCATTAACTTCTTAGGAGATTGCCTCGCACCCATTTTAGACGGGGTCAGTCTGGACAGGAAGATGGCAGATGATCAGCAGATCCTTTACAGAATGTCACTCTCGTCATGGCAGGCTTAAAATTTATCTCTCCAGCCAATTCTCCAGCTCTATGTGCTTTTATATTCAATTAACCTCCAATGCCTTGTATTCACTTTCTGCTCCTACTTTGTTTTCTGGAGACTGTACCTTCATTACCGTTCTCTCCAGGGCAGTATGACATTTAACATGGCCAAAATACCTCAGCTTTCCAGACAGAATGCTGTTTATGAGCCAATTCTCCTCGATGCTCAGTGGTTTTCTTCTTCTTGGTCTATAGTATTCTAAGAATTTGTCTGTATCACTTCAGTTGAAAACACACACAAAAACTCTGAAATTTGTCTTCAATGATTAAGAGTCAATGACTCACATCCATAGGATGCCATGAGAAGATTACAATGGTCTCAGAATGTTTACTTAAACTGGCTTGTAGGTAAAAGATTCCTATAATTACTGACCGGTCTGTACTCATTGGGTGACATGGTCGACATCATGCCTGTCACGTTAGCGTCCCAGGCCATGACATGGTGCCCATATTAGGCTGGCCTGACCTGGGAGCCAGTGACGTTTGATAAAAACTTGCATTGATGTGAATGCTCTCATCATGTAAGAGTTAAATTAACTCTTTAAGTCCCAGGGGTTTCAGCATCACAGGACCAAGGGGTAGTCAAGAAAGACGTAAAATCGGCACATGTTGCGTTCACTGGGCTTGTAGGTAGGAATCTATGAACATATGACGCGTTCCTTGGGACTTGAAGAGTTTTTAAAAAAAATAAGCGCATTTGTATCAGAAAATATTAACAAAACAAAAATTACAACTTAAAATATTGTCTTTACAAATGTTAGACAACTTTTTAGTATCAAACCTCAAAATAAAAAAATGAGGGGGGGGGGGGGGGGGGGGGGGGGGCCATGTATTTAACAAATGTTTAAAAATAGTTTATTAAATTAGGTCAATATAAATCCAGTCAACAAAGCATTCTGGTACCTCAAAGATGGTGTCCTCGCAGAAATTGACAAAACTAGTCAGTTTCTCTTTGTCTCCTCCTTCATTGACCACACTATGCAAAAATGACCGCTTGGACTCCTGAAAACAATGAAACAACATCATCTATTTACTTATACCACAAAATGTCTGGGCTAATCTATATTTTGCCAGGACTAACTGTGTTTCTACTAGTTTTCAAACGAAACAGTGAGGGAAATTTGCATGATTTTCACTGGTATGCATCTATGTCGGCAGACATACTGACTAGGACACACAGGAGTGCAAGGAAATGAAAGAGCTGATTTTCTGTTTCCAAAAGTGATAGCTACAGGAACACTTGAACTGGACAAAGGAGACATTGTCAAGACCTTGTACGAATGAGGAATAAGGAGTGGTCTCAGCAAGGAGGGATGTATGAGAGGAAGAGAATGACATGTGTAAAATCAGTATGCTACATCTTAAGACATTTGCTGCGGGAGACTGAGCATCTATATGTATGCCAGGTGGGCTATAATGTTGAGCCATAAATCAGTAATCAGCACAAATAAATGCTGATAGAAGAAACCTGCTCAGATGAAATAGCATGAGGTAGAATATGTGAATGAGGAATCAGCCCTGGATCAGGCAATGACGGACATATGAAAGGAAGAAAAATGACAAGTTTATAAAGTAAAGTGTGCAGTCAGCATATATATATATATATATAAAGACATTTGCTATGGGAGACAGAGCACCTATGGGTATGCACGGTGTGTTATGATTTTGATTCTTAAATCAGTAAATCAGTGAAACCTTGACTATAAACTATTCAAAAAATTTGTGTAAATTACTTGTTTTGTGGGAACTGTAAAATGCACATAAGTAAACCATGTTAAATACATGTAACTATATTTAATGTGTAACTTCTAATGTTTTGGTCCTGATTGCCCAAACTGGACATTATATTCTATGTAGACTGTATACAGTTTGTTCTCCATGTTTCAGAATCATTTGTTTAAAAAAAAAAAGGGGGGGAATACTCATGGCAGATTAATATTTTCAGTCCAAGCAACTGGTGATGTGCGGCTTATAATCTAAAGTCAAAAACCGTCTTTGGTAATCTGGACAGATGCATGCCAGGGAAAATCTCACAAAATGCTCTTATTTATTCCATTTGATAGCTAGTGAACAAAACCAAGAGTCTATGACAGAAGAGGGCCAGAAAGTATGTCTTTGAAGGAAGCCCGAATATCAAATGTCTGCAGAAGCTGAATGTGTTGGCCAAAAAGGCACAAATACAGCAGCCATGTTGTAAATGAACACAACAAATGTACATAATTCACATGAATGCAGAAGAAAAAGAACTAACAAATGAATGTATTGTAAGTTGTATGGTGTAGAAAAAGTTAACATATCTTTTCGTTTTATTTTAAACTTATTTATTACTAGGGGAGAAGATCAAGGGTAGGGTAGGGAGATAAATACTCAGATGACTTAACAATGCTGAATCAGACAGTTACTGGTACCATCAAAATTTTAACTCTTTGCTTGCTGCTGAAGATGGGGATGGAGCGCATATGGGGGTGTCCTGAGTGCTCTTATGTCGCTTGCTAATTGAACATTCAAAATCATTCAACATTAGCCATGCTGATTGGGTGAGGTAAGCACATTCTCCTGATTTCTTGATTCTTGTAATCATGTGGGAAGGTAAAACATGACAACCAATGCGTATCAACACTCTACATGATGATGATTTACATTACCGAACAAACATACCTTGATTTGTGGTTTCTCCCACTGGTCAATATGGGACTGCTTAATCTCAAAGTAGACCCTTTCAATGCGATTGGCACTTCCTTGAATCTCAATACGACCCAGATATGGTTCAAAATAGTCCAGGACGCTCTTGGCTTTGGTCAGCAACCTTTCTAGCCTGGTGGACATCACACAATATTTATTTGAAAATACAGGGATGAAAATAGATTTGATTAAAGGAAAAACAGCAAGTGAGACAATGTGCCCTTGTTAAGAGTAGTTAAGGTTCAGGTCGAGAACACTGACCAAATCCTTTTGCCCTGGTGATCTAGAAAAACAATGCCAAAGACTGGTATTTTTTTAAATTTTATATTTCCCCCAAAATAATAATTCTTTAAAAAAAAAAAGTTTTTAGACAGGTCACCAAAAACTTATTAATAAATAAATAATTTAAAAAAAAAATACAGCTATGGAAAACAATATAGAACTGCACACAAAATAATGGGAGTAATCAACAAACATGAATGGGTGAGAGAACTGACATAGTTAAATCTCACTGAGCTTTAAAAAAAAAACCCAGTTTAGTGTGACCTGTTCTTGACCCCATGACCCAACAGCCAGTTACCACAGCAACTAACAGGAAATTCTGATGTTTTAATTTCTATAAATGAAACAATTTTTCACAAGGAAACCCCACTTAAATGCTATTTTCAGTAGCTATGCTCATTTCCAATCATTCAAAAAAGTTGCCCAGGAAGAAAAAAGAAGCTATGCCTCTTAATAAACAAGACTCTAGTTAGTTAGTCAGTCCACAGATTATCCTCATTGCCCGTCAAACCACTCAGTCCATAAGTGCTCCGATCCCCTCCTCAGTAAATCCTGCAGCGTGTAATGACACCAGTTTTGTGTTGGTTTAGTATTCTTCTTTGGCTACCCATATAGTGTTCTTGTTTGATGACTTGACACCCCGTTTAACATGTTGTTCTTGCAGTCTGACCATGGTTGCAGATTCACAGTTCTCAGTTGGTTCACCCAAACGTCTTAACTTTCCTAGAGCATTCAGTATATCAGCCTGGACCATGGCTTGTCCGGCTTTCACAGTAGCCTTACCTGCAAGTCTATCAGCTTGCTCATTTCCTTGTACCCCAAAAACAAGACTCTAAAAGCAAGCCAGGATAGGGAATTTACAGGACTGTGGTACAAATCAGAAGCCCTGAGTTTTTTTGCTTCTCGGGGTGGGAGAGTTAATATTCCTACATTATTCAATATGGTTCCGCCCCTACCCACAAAATGGCTAGATGTGTGCTGAAAGCGTCAGGTTGCAAATGGCACTATTAGTATGGACACATTTTTGTTGACTCAGTAAGACCGGGATGCCAGGTTTGATCCCAGCTGCGGGCAATGCACCTTGCGTTGGTTTTGACAGTGGTATCAAGAAAGCCGACCGTCCAGAAAGCAATGGCAAACTACTAGATGTAAATTGCCTAGAGAAGCCACACAACAGCCAGGGGCTGTTAGGGTTTGTTCTGCAACATCCTGTAAAGGATATGCAACTCACTAACTCAGGAAGAAGACAGAGCATGTGTGGCAATGTTCTGAGTCCAGTAATGTCAGTTTTTGATTGACCGATTGACTCATTCAGATGGCATTACTCAAAGTACAAGCTCCATAGCTCCAGCAACAATTCCGAGGGATCTCAGTAAAAAAAAATGCATAATGAACTGAAGGATGTCCTCAAAAGATATGTCATATGTATTAAACCAGATGGAGGAAAAAGTTGAAGGCAAGCATGAAGGTCACTGAGTTACAAGTGTAAAAATACACTTAATAGAAGGACAAACAGTAGTCTGACAGAGTGTTTTACAAGGGTGCGGCGGAATCTTATTAAGTTAATCTTGATCACAGCTAGTCTAAAAGTGATACAGTCTGTGAATTTATAACAATGTAATATCTCACAGTAAAACAGCCTATGATTGTAATACAATGTAACATTTGACAGTGAACCAGCCTGTGATTGAAACACAAAGTAACTTAAAATAAAGACTACACAAACACTAGACTGCACAATTTATTGTCTGGCATATTTCGCTGTATCTCTTCAGGTGCATACTAAGTAACAACAGATTAAAATGGAATCCTTTTAACTAAAATACAAAATCGACTACATTAAAAAATGTCTGTTTTACCAGGATAAACGCAAGTTGAAGAGCATGTCCTTTTGTCTGCATAATTCTGGACTGAACCGTTTTATAGTGGTCGCTTCCACAAATCTCAGTATCTACGGTTGACTGAAGTGTAATTAATTTGAAATGCATAAAATATAACTTACTTGGGCTCATTGGGCATGTGCTCAGAAAGGTTGGTTAGCAGCACAGCCATAGTAAAGCCAATGTCCTTGGCTGGGTTGTGGAAACGATCGTGTGAACTCCGTGAAATCCACTTTGCCATCATGGTTGGCATCCACACACATCATGATGTAAATCTCTACTGTTAAGCACCAATTTTGGGTTGTGTATCCTTTACAGGACGTTCCACACGAGCAGCCCCTGCTGTTGTGTGTTTCTCTACAAAATTTATGTCCAGTTGTTTGCCATCTCTGGACGGTTGGCCCCCTGATAAAAAAAAATGGCCCGCAGCTGGAATCAAACCCTTCACCCGATCACGAAGTGTTGCATACTTAGCCACAGACAAAGCATTATACTTAACACATATATAACCAACTCCAGGGTTTTTCCCCTAGAAACAAAGTTGCCACACTCACCACAAAGTGAAAAAAAAGGTGCAAAGTGTTTTGCAGTAGCATTGAAAAGAATTATACCTAAAAAGATGCTGGTACTAATGCATACCACCAAAAATTAAAAAATAAAAAAAGGACTTGACCAAACTGACAACTGGTACTGTTAATGAGATTATTTCTAAGAAATAAGTTTGTTAAGCTCAATATAGCAATTGATAACCCACATACTACTGTACTACTATGAGTGCAGAGACAAATTATAAACAGCATATTCATTCCAACAATAAGCTACACTGTCTAAAGCCTATGTATGCAAAATCACCACTTGCGAGATGAGATGCCTGAGAAAAGTTGCCAACCTACCCATCCTGAGATCTAGTGAATAAGGATACTGTCAGACACAAAACTAAATTCATCGAGAAACAGCAGATCAAGTAGTCTGGCTATCTCGTTGGAATGCAGCAAGATCAAATACCAACACAAGCGCTACAATTAGATCAGCTAAAAGAGCAAGAGGATGGCTGCGTAAAAAATATGGATCGACAACATTAAAGACACACTACACCTTCACGACATGACAATAGCCAGTGGCTGCCAGCATGCACTGGATCGCATATTATTCTTCCCT